GACCACCTCTGTACTGTAGTAAGGTGGAAGCAGCACTACACTACTGTCAGGATATTGACCACCTCTACCCTAGTAAGGTGGAAGCAGCAACCACGGAAGATCTTTAGTAACATTCATAAAAAATGAGACTGCTGGAAAACAAAAGATATACTTCTAGCTCTTGCAGGAGAAGAGGGTTAACACCTATCAGTACAACCCCTGGGTCACCTACTTGACTAATTAATTCAGAGTGCCCATAAACTGGAACTGCATAAAGAGGTTTCTCATGTTAGTATTATAGTCAGTCATGTAGTATTTGGTTCAATAAGCATATATATAAATGGTGGACCTATTTGGAAAATTTAAACTCTTAAAACAATGTCACACGATACACTTTTAACTTAATTATTAGTCAGCATTTAGACATCCATCACTTCACTACATTTGGTACGACAACTCTCTGTATAGTTTGTTACATTTTCTTTGAAAGTATTGCTTGGCAAAAATCAGTTAAATAAATGACTAATAGACAAATATTTGAAATATTAATGGAATTCACAAGTAAAAAAAAAAATTTCAATGTAATGTAGAGTTTTATGAACAAATAGATGAAGTTAACACGGGTTCATGTTTAGCTCCTGTGAACTTTTATGAACAAGAATGACAGTCCCTGTAAGTTTAAACCACTTGTTAAACATATTTGTAGCATTTAACAATGAAGAAGAGCTAATGAAGTTCATCTACTATTGACTGGTCAACATGTTAACATAAACTATACCCGTGGATGCCAACAAACGTCTATTTTACCTTTTATGGACACTCTCATGTACAACAAACTTGAAACGTATGAGATTGGAGGACATCATAAACCAACATCCACTGGATGTTACTCACACTTCAATAGTTTTATATGACATCATGATGGAGAAAATCTAATCAAATTTCTAGTATACAGTGCTTACATTATTACCAACATTTAAAACGGTTTTTCTAAAAGGTTTATCAGTCTGAAACTGATAAAATTGTAAAACATGTTTTTACTCACAAATACATGTATATATTATTTTTTTCCCTAACATTTTATGAGCATTGATAATATTAGGTTTTCATTTCTCATATCTAATTCAACTGTATTATAATTGTGACAAGCTGACTGCCCGTCGTATCATAGGAAATTATCATTAATGTTTTTTTCTCAAATTTTATCTAAATAAATGTTTTATGAACAAGACTTCTAAAAATTAATTACAATCTAGTAACAATACAAGTAAAGAAAATGTCCATCTTATTTCTAGTATTTCATGAAAACGTACTTGATTAGCACTTTGACTTCTGTATATTTTTAAGTTATGCTCAAATGTTCTTCTTTATAGGTTGAAACATGCACAAAAAAACTGGTTCTCAAAGACATATTTCTACTTGATGACCTTGAAAATTATTAAAGGCAGTGAATTTTATTATGTACATCTTGGTTTTGTTAGCCTGCTGAGGTGAAAAGCTCACTTTAATTTGGGCATTTTCAAAACTGAAATGTGCTGTGGGTTATTATTATTATAGATTTTTAGCTGAGGGATTTGATTGGACAAATTTTGGTGATGTTGCATCAGTTTCTCTCCTTGACAACCAAGCAAACATAATGGAGAATTTCTGCCAATAATTAAGGTTTTTGTGCACCAGCAATACAAAGTGTGGGGCTCACATATACCCAATTTCATTTTATTACACATCACCTCTCTGCCAACCTACCCTCAAATTTAATTATATGCTCAAAGCAGTGCACTGTCGTTTCATGCAAGTTGTCTGTCGATCAGTACTGCAAAGGCCAAGTTATCGGCGTGACAGATGGACGGCTTTTCATCTTTATATAGCAGGTTAATTAACAACTCATTTTCTTTCACTGTTCCAATTATATCAGTTGTACTTACATTAAATTCTCTTTAATTTGATGATGGCTACTGTAAGACAGACAAAAGCTGTTAGTGAATATCTGTTTATTGTCTATTATTTACTACTATATGTGTATGTTACATCACATTCATTGGATTATACTGTTTACCACTGTAATCAGTTATGTAATAAACAAGTTTTGTGAATCTCTGTAAGTGCTTTGTACAACATAATTTTTCATGTAAGAAAACTGGACACGGAAGCCCGGCACTGGCAGTTTTATTTACACTGTCTTACTGAATTCACAAATATTATCAATACACCTTTTCTAAGTTTACTAACAACAACTTCTAGATGACATACCTTGTAATATTTGAAACCGGATTTTAGCCGTTAACCGGACAATCAACCTGTCATGTAAAACATTTAAGACGCCACATAATTTTTTTTTGTCGTTTCCATTCAAAATGGAAAAATTATTTCAAGTTCTCTTATCACACAAAAGAATTGGTGCAATTTTTTTTTTTTTTTTTACTTTTTCAACTTACAGAGAAAGGGAATTTCTACAATTGGGTGTAACATTCAAATACCAATAAAAAAAACTGTAAGGAGTTTATAAATACAATAAAAAAACAAGTCTAGGCAACAAATTTGACACAAAAAGAGCAACATTAAAAAATAAACAGATCTCTAACTACTGAGTAACACTAACTACCTTTTTAAATGAATATAGGAAATTTAGTTTTAAAACAAAACATGCTATTCAAAATAGATAAAAGGAGAGGAAACAGGGTAGAGAGAATGAATTAATTTAGCATAAAAAAAACCAAACAGTAAAGTAGTTTCAAGAACGGAATGTTTACATTGATAAACGGACTGTGCGTTGGTCCCTGATAAAATAAAGACATTTTAAGTGTATTGTAATATTCGCTTGCATGACTTAAGTATAAAGACAAAAAAGTACGGTAACTACAAGCTGTACCGGGAGCTTTGGAACTAATGAGATTTCACTACTCTCTTTACAGATAAACAATCCTGACAGAGTGTACATTTTAACACAAAAATGATGGAAAAAACAAACAAACTGAGTTATAACCTAAATAAATCAACGTTGTCCCAGTTAATATTGTATCAAAATAAATAAAATCTTTGGGTAATTAATACTGAGTAGACCAAGCAGAAATAAAGCAAAAGGCTTCACTTTTGATTTTTAAATAAAACTGTCTCTTACCCTTTTGTGCCACCAAACTGTGGGTGAATTGAAATGGCACATGGACACACATAAAATACTCATATACACTTTATTTATGGCCTTGCTTTTAACAAGAAAATTTAGTTGTACTTTAGAACTTTGCTGCATTTGAAGATCAAAGTGTCAGTTTGATGGCACCATAATTTATGCAAAAAATAAGAACTACACAATATCACAAGTTTTATACCAAATAATAAAAGCCACACTAAATATATAAGTAAACATTTCAGGATCTGTATTTTATAATACCAAAGTATGAAATGTATGTGAATAAAAAAAAAACAGCCTTTCTTCTTATAACAACATAGTAATTACAAACATCACAAGTCCAAAAACATTTATTATTCTATATACATTTTCAACTAAATAATTACACTATACCAAGAAAAATGAAGATAAAAAATAAGTAGTCTACTAACCTTAAAGGAAAAAGAAAATCTGGGCAGGACCATAAGATAACTATCTTTGCTTTAAAAAAGGTTTTAAACTTTACTTCTAGAATGCTAATTGGAATAATGACTGCTTAAGATTATATGCTTCAAGTGAAAATAAAAGGATTGTTGTATCTTAATATTAAATTATAAAAGGATTGTTGTATCTTAATATTAAATTATAAAAGGATTGTTGTATCTTAATATTAAATTATAAAAGGATTGGTTGTATTTTAATATTAAATTATAAAAGGATTGGTTGTATCTTAATATTAAATTGTAAAATTATTGGTTGTATCTTAATATTAAATTGTAAAATTATTGGTTGTATCTTAATATTAAATTGTAAAATTATTGGTTGTATCTTAATATTAAATTATAAAAGGACTGTTGTATTTAAAAATTATAAAACACGTTTCTTGAATAGCAACAGTATGTTAAAAGAAGAAGAAAAAAAGGATACAAAAGGATATTACATACATTTGCCATAAAACCTCAGTACTTAGATAAAAGAAGTCTATCTTTACATATTTATACATATATATATATATATATATATATATATGTATGTATAAAGGCATTAGAAAACAGAATGTATCTTTAGTTAAGATAGAATAGCCACATCAACAGCACATTATAAATGAAAAATAATACAATGGATATCAGCCCAGACCATCACAGGTAAAAAATCCAACAAACAAAGAAATCCCAGTCCATCTTGTACCACTGAAGCAAGGTGTCACTCTACAGAGGTTAGACTAAACTCAGTCCCCATCTATGGTAGAGACCTCTAAACCTCAGAGTTGTCATAATGAGATGTTCATGACCAGCTGTATTGACCAGACTGCGGTGACTGGTTGTAATTGTTGTTACCGTTACCCATGTATGGTGAACTGTTAGCAGAATGAGCCTGAGTATAATTGATAGGAGTATTCAGGATGTTTCCCAGATGAGAGAAATTGGGAAGAGTAGCCACTGATGGTTGACCATAGGCCATCTGGAGAGCTGCAGTATGGGCTGGGGTCATCTGGGCCAAAGACATGGGAGAAAGACCTGGTGACATGTTGGAAGAAGAACCAGAAGGTGCTGGACTGACTGAGTTAGCAATTGGCGGTGAAGCTGAAGCAGAGTTTCCTGATGGAGACCGAGCCGTGTCCTTGGTATCTGTGTCAGTACGGGCTTGTTCTTCATGCTGCATCATCATCATCATCATTGGCTGCTTAGCCATTTGCTGACTTTCAGCACTTTGCTGTGGAAAAAGTATCATTGCATGTAAACCTCACAATACAAACCAAATCAAAGGACTTGCAACAAATAAGTAATATTTGATTCAATCCAAACTTGTAAGAAGAAATTATAAAACGACAGAAATGTTTAACTTCTCAAGCATTAGTTCAGCAGTAAGGATAGCAATCATTACAACTAATTAACATATATATCAAGCCATTTTTTTAGTATAACATCTCTACATTACAACTCGAGGAAACACTATAGAAATCCTCCAAAAACAGTCAACAGTTTCTCTTCTTAATGCAAGCATTGCATGTTCCAAGCTTCTAGTGAATAGTCGATTTATTTAACCAATGTACATTGGCTTGGTCCAACGGACCAACACCCCCACTGGAAAAGGAGATTGAATATAATTCCAAATTTACTATGTGGATTTTTCTACATGAAACATGACATGCATTTAGTAAAGTCTACACATCTGCTGTACACAAAAAATTAGATGAGTTACAAACATATTTGTAATCAAGATATGTCTATGAAATAATGACATCAGCTTAACTCAGACCCTGGAATGAAAAGTGATGTTCACGTGAAAAATAAAACTACTTTTGTCCATTGCACATTATTCATGTTGCATTTACAAAACCTCTAAAATCCATATCTAGATTTTTTTAATATCCTTGTATACTGTATCAGGTATTTACTCTCTACTGCCAGATTGGCAATGTAGGGTAAAATGAACAGTTGATAACATAATACCATGTTGAATGCCACTCTGTAAAATGTTGTGGCACGTGCACTTTGACACCCAACTGTGCACATAGGGTTAAGGGTATTAGTGAATTATTTCAAGTCTCCAGTGTGTAATTCACCTCAGATACCAAAAATAAGTTCTTTACAGCTCATGCCACACATAAAATTAGTTTGAAAAACAAACATTTATATTACATTATTATATAGACATTCAGTTAGATAACTGTAATACGAGTTTTTTTAATAAAACTTTTCATTTTGAATTTGTAATTTTTTAAATACAGCAAGTGGTTGCTATTTTTTCAGTTTAGTCAGTGACTGTGACAATGAGTTTTGTTACTTAATGTACAAGTCTACGCTGTAGCTAACTATCAACAGTATAGGTCAATGAGTTTTATCACTTACAACACAAGTCTCAAAATCTATATTTATATTGTAGTTAACTATCTATAGTTTAGGTCAGTGACTGAGACAAGTCACGTCACTTGATATACAAGTCTGAAGTCATGTTAATTGTTACTTTGGTTAAGTCTATATTGGAGTAACTACCCATAAACTTTCATAATGTACAATCTTTCCTCTAGCTGCAGAAAAGTGTACTGAGTGCTTCTTTTTTTGACAGTTAACAAAAGACGTAAAAGATGATTCATAGCTTAGAAAGCAAGAACTGATTTAGATTAAATTTAAATAAGCTATGTCAGTGATAAAAATTAACTAAGACGATATTAAAAGCATGGTTTAACTTGATTACAAAAGGTATATGAAATGCACATGACATTACCTGTCTACGATATTCTTCCATAACCTGTTCATATTCTACTTTAGCTTCATTCTGTTTTTCAACATAATGTCGTTTTTCTTCCTCAGTCATGTTCCTCCAACGCTCCCCTCCTGGGAAGTTACAAAAACAGCACAAATCTTAGAGGTTTTTTGAAATAAAAACTTCAAGATGAGTCTCATTTTTTCAGAGATGGTCGAGAATAAACTAACGTATTCACCTAGATAAACAGTATTATCAACACTGGATGTTGATTTATGTTTACTATTAAAATCACTTAGTTTCAAACATAGAGGAAAAGGAAGTTCTGATTTCATTCTCTGCTGAACAGAGAGTGCTGAACCGATTTCCTTCGTTTGGTTTAATATTATCTTTAATTCGTGCTGCTAGATGTCTGTTAGTAAGTACATAAACTTCTTTAACTTAGATTATTATTCCCCCTTTAAATATAGTTAAAACAACCTTCAAACTTCTATATCCATCACTAAACAAGATCATTCATCTACAGAAGTTTTAGGCAGTATGTTATCTCAAAATCAACTATCAAAATTACATGAATTTTCTGAACTTGAACTAGGAAAAAAATCATCTTAGTTTCAATTACAGTTCAAAACAGAAAGTAATTCACATGGCCTTGTTCAACAACTTGAAATTTAATCAATCATTGTTTTAACAGTAACCATTAGAAAATTGTACATTTTAGACGGAAATTACAAATTTTATACAATATCAAAACATTCAAAATTATATACATATCAATGTTTTAAGTTTAAAATACAGGCAGTTGACAATGAACAGTTTCTTTACAAGAAACTAAAAATTGTGCTAAGCTCTATAATTTTGTTCCTCCAAACTAGATTTGATTAGTATTTTTTAATTATATAGTACTGAAAGATGTCTTTCTGCTACTTTGCTAACACACTGTTGAACCAACCTGTCAGTGTCGTTACGACAAGCGATGCACATCAACTTATCGACTGCCTTAGATGAAATGGATACTTTCAACAAATATCAACTTACCTAATTTGGCTAAAGCTGCCACACCCCCCTCTGGCTCTCTTCCAGCCATTTCCTTCCGAAAATCTTTCATAAAAATCATAAATGCTGTGCCTGGTCTTTTGGGTTTGTTAGCATCACGAGCAGGTTTGTAGATGGCCATCTATGAATTGACAATCATGAGAAAGTTACGTATTTCATTGTGCAAACTTGGATTTTTATCTCTGTAACATCTTCACAAAAAGTGTATGAACAATACTTCTTGGAAACATTTTACAGGTTACTTAAAACTTAAGAGTGGTGTTCTTCACAAGATAAAATTTACAGTTGCGACTTTCCTTCTACTAGTGATGTATACAGAAACTGAAATTTTTAACAAAACATTTATTTTTAGGGAAAAAAGATTGTGAAGTAATTGTTACAAAAATAATTTACCTAATGTATGATAAATAAAGATCAGATTAATAATGTCCAAATGCCTACAAATTTACAAGTTTAAAAAAGGGACTGTGCTGGAAAATTAATGAGTTACTCACACAAAAAAACGACTTTTTTTCATAAATTCAAATCCCTCGTTTTGATGCAAAGCAAAGAACACAGGTTATCAACCACATAAAACAAGTTACAAATGTTCTTACAAATATCTGATGTTTTTCCCCCCCTACAATTATTTAACAAATTTGTATTTAAGGGACTAACTAAAGTAGACACGACTTTTAGGTTTTGGTTTATACATACAGATATAATATGTTTACACAAAGTAATTAGTTTGAAAAAAAAAAAGGTATCTGTGGATAACACAAAGATGTAAAAATAGATCAGAAAATGGAGTTTATGTTACTGTTAATTACTAAACCCTCTTATTTGAGTTAAGGCTAAGTATCAGTCAGTAACAAGTAAATGCATAATAAAATGTGGTCTATAGTAATACTAATTAATAAACCTATTAGTTGAGTTAAGACTAAATATCACTTCTCAATTTCAAGAAGAATTATACCATGCTTAAATTAAGTATCAAAACTTTTATAGTTTCAAAAATTTAGCTTTTATTTGACTTCACTGCTTAAACCGCTCTCTGGTGTTGCTTATGTGTGTTAATATAAGTTATACAACCAAGCAAATTAACGGACCACTGGACGTAATTTATACCAAAGACTTAAATGCCATTAAGAGGAGGAGGAATGCAGTAATATCAGGATCTCTCGCTAACCCTTCATGAAGAGACACTGTAGCCAGTCTCTCTCTCTTAGAGTATGGTGATTAGGGAAACAAAACTTTTGTTTTAAGTATCTATAAACACTGATAAAACTGTCAATTAATTTGACCACACAAAATTAATGCAGCAATTATAACACAAAAGATACCGGTTAAGTTCTTGGTTTTTCCATACCTCTAGTAAAAAGAGTTGAATTATAACACAAAAGATACCGGTTAAGTTCTTGGTTTTTCCATACCTCTAGTAAAAGAGTTGAATTATAACACAAAAGATACCGGTTAAGTTCTTGGTTTTTCCATACCTCTAGTAAAAGAGTTGAATTATAACACAAAAGATACCGGTTAAGTTCTTGGTTTTTCCATACCTGTAGTAAAAGGGTTGAATTATAACACAAAAGATACCGGTTAAGTTCTTGTTATTCCCATACCTCTAGCAAAAGAGTTGAATTATAACACAAAAGATACCGGTTAAGTTCTTGGTTTTTCCATACCTCTCGCAAAAAGAGTTGAATTATAACACAAAAGATACCGGTTAAGTTCTTGGTTTTTCCATACCTCTAGCAAAAAGAGTTGAATTATAACACAAAAGATACCGGTTAAGTTCTTGGTTTTTCCATACCTCTAGCAAAAAGAGTTGAATTATAACACAAAGGATACCGGTTAAGTTCTTGGTTTTTCCATACCTCTAGCAAAAAGAGTT